ACACACACACTCACACTCACTCGCACACACACACACACACACACACACACACACACACACACACACAAATGTATATTCACAAATTTTTTTGACATTTGACATTTTCTTTAAAACAAAACAATTTCTCACATTAAGCAATGTATTATCTTTTAATTTAAAGGATGTCCCACTTTAGCTGAATGCTAAAATTGATCTAACATGTTCAGGTAAATTGGGACAGTAACAAAACATGATATTTTAAAAAAATAGAACAAAGAAACGTGCATATCATAGTATAAAATCGAATAATCACATGAACGCATGTAATACAAATTGATATTGTAGACTGAAATACTGTTTGTATTAGAATTTAAACCTTAACAATTTTAATGAAATTAAACTATGTGCGGGCACTTACCATGAACTTTGTCAGACCTTCCCGCTCTTGAGTAACCACACCCACATGATTTACATTTGACAAATCAAATGTTGATATTCAAATTAAGTACTGTTATTACAACATTTCAAGACCACCCATAATTAATTAATGCAATTTTTTTAAAGGAGCACTACACTGGAAACGTATTTGTCCCAGTTTAACTGATGTCCCACTTCTGCTGACTTCAAAGCTTTTGCGTTCCCCATTGTGTGAAACTTTGTGACTGCTTGCAAAAAAATGGTTTTGGAAATATATATGATTATGGTTTCTGTGCTTAATGTTCTCTCACATTTACGTTCACCTGAGAAACTTTGCATCCGCTCGCAAAACTTTTGCAATGGAAATAATATGCGGTGAGAGGAAAAACTATACTTCAGTGCTTTTGCAAGTGCAAAGTTTCTCAAGGGATTGAAAATGCAAAATCATTGAAACATTTTTCGTCTTATCTTTTTTTTTTTTCTCCAATCACAGTCCTGAGTTAGTTTGACATTTAAAGAGCAATAACATTTCCGTCATCATTTATTCAACTCATACGTTGTTGCTTTTTCAACAAAACTTGCCCCACTTTCACTTGGTGAGCCAAAAACACACACATCATTATTAAAGTATCAAAGCAGTTCATATGACTCGTGTATTATATTCAAAGACATAGTTTTGGGTGAGGAATAGACTGAAAGGTTTTGTCCTTTTGCAACACGACACTCACGCTCACTATTTTTGTTGCAAATATAAACCAAAATTCCTCAACTCCTCAAGTCTATAGAGTATATATGATATGTTTGTAGGCTATAAAAGAGCAAGTCAACAGCTGTCATAACGTACAATGCTGCTCATACAATGCAATTATTTTAATGCTCAGTCTGAGAGCGTGTTTGCACATGCTGTGTTTGACTTTGCACTGCATCTTCACCGGCTGACAGAAACCAAGAAGACTTCTGAAAGCTGTCAGTGACCAGACGACGTAAGAAAGAGGTCAGCGCTGTTTTCTACTGGGGAAAAATAGGCCTTAGTGTAACATCCACCCATGCAGCGTCCCTAAATAGGACACACTGCATTATGACTCTTTATCTCAGTGTGCCAAAATTCTGCAGCTTGTGCAAAACTGCAGACCACAACATGAGAGATCATGCCATGCAAGCGGTTACACAAAACACTTTACCTTTATGCAATATACAGATATGGTTCTGTCTGAGCATTTGTCTAAGTTTGAGAAATGTAATGACGCGATAGTTCATCAGTTTTCAGGGAAAATATAAGTCTGCGAGTCAAGTGAAAAGGAAGAAGCCGTTAAACATTTGGCAGGAAGAGTCATTCTGATAAAGATGAAAGATATGCTCAATCACTGATAACCTGATTCTAACGTTTCCTGACACACTTGAGAAAGAAACCGAGAATGCATAGGGTGAATTCAGGTATTAAATTTGCAATCACACAATATTTTGGATGTTTTAAATGGTATTTTTATACTTAAAGGAAATAAAAAAGGTGTAAAATTCAGGTGCCATTGACATGACTGGGAAAAAAGTCATTAAGTAACATACATTTTAATATATATGTATGTATGTGAAGAGTTCAGATGCAAAAGCCTTGAAATTGTCTTCTAAAATGAGCTTTTTTAACAGGCTCCTATGTGTAAATATATATATATATATATATAAAATACCAAAATTATATATATATTTTTTTATTTTATTTTTTTAAGTACAAGAATTAGTAGGCTATAAGAAATACTACTAATAATTCAATGCTTTAAATGTTTAGGTATTTGAACTAGTTTAAGAATATATTTGTAAACCTGTGGACAGCGGACTGAAGACACTCACCTGAGCGCGAGCAGCAGGAGTTACAGTCACTTCGGGAAGTCACGCGGTCGTGTCTCATGTGTCATCTCGATTCTTGTTTTCTCACTTTCTACAGCGATTTCGCATTCGGTTTTAGATGTATTTTTCAATAGGCTTCTAGTTTAAAACGTGCCCGTTCGGTGTCAAACGACATGTTGTGGAAGTGTGTTTCAGTTCGTGAGTCGGAGGAGGAACTCGATTATATATGATATGATGGGAGGAGTGAAACAGCACGCGAGCGCAGGGTGAACAGGACAGGTTCAGAGCCAGACATGATGCATACAAATCTTAAAGACGTAAAACAAAGCCTAACACTTAAAGGGGTCATATGATGCTGCTAAAAAGAACATTATTTTGTGTATTTGGTACACAAATAAAATGTGTTTATGCGGTTTAAAGTAAAAAAAAACACATTATTTTCCACATACTGTACATTATTGTTTCTCCTCTATGCCCCGCCTTTCTGAAACGTGTTGATTTTTACAAAGCGAGGTGTGCTGTGATTGGCCAGCTATCCAGTGCGTTGTGATTGGCCGAATACCTCAAGCGTGTGACGGAAATGTTACGCCCCTCACCATACTGTGATGCCCTGTCCGGCCGGAGCAATGAGACAAAAACATTAAAACCCATTATAAACGAGGCATTTGTTGCATCC